CAAAATACCGGAATCGTTACTCAAATAACTCTGAAAATTAAATATTTTGTACTGGTGGAGCGGGAAAACCTCTGTTGATCATGTGACTGAATAAGCCCCGCCCTTCATCAATCTATTAAGAAAACATGCAGTCATTTATCCATATGCATCAATCAAGAATTTGAAAAACAACAATTTAGGAAGTGGTCGGAGAGGTATAGTTGAAGGGCAAATTAAAAAGCAATTTACAACAAACAAAGACACAGAGAATCGGCCGAGAAAAAACAACTCTGATTTAAGAATATAATCAGAAACATTTAACAGTGTATTGATGTAGAACGCCCTTGATAGATATATTACAAATTCAATATTAATAAAAATAATATCTGATTTTCAATTTCATCTGATGTTTCAGTGCACTAATAAATTTTAATTATACATACCCAAAAATACTTTATTTGGCGCACTCAGATTTTTGAGAATATGATATAATTTTTAACAGATTAGAATTAGACCCTTTATAAATTGGCGTACCCAATACTGTAAATGTGTATATACAATTGAAAACTTTATAAAGAAAGTGCAAATAGTGCAATAATTATTAAGCGTAATATTTCAAACACGTTATCGTTTTCAATAAGATGACCGCTAAAATATGTCTGTTTACAGTAACTCTTGATGATGTCAAAGTAATTTGTAGACATTGCTCAATATATTGTATAAGTTTGTGAAATATTATGATAGCGTGTTCTGTAAGAAATCAGTATTTGGCGGTACATCCATATGTTGTAAGTACGTTTGTATGAACTATTGATGTGTCAAGGTGTAGATATTTTTATTTTAGCGTGTATAGGTGATTTATATGTAATGGAAATATATAGCTCGCGCTTGACCACGCTGTAGTTGACCTCAGCAGGGCGTCTATTACATGAAGGGTCACTTACACCGGTCAACCAACAGAAAGTTATGAGCTAATAAAGTGACAATCATTATAAAATGAAAATAAAAAGAAACTATTGATATATTGATACATAATACAGACACGAGGAAGAAGGAAAGAGCAAAATAGTGCTTCGATTTTATGTCTGAACAGTGATCATTGCACAAAAAAATGCTTACCTGGAATCTTTTGGTATGCATTCTCACGAAAACCGTCAATTAAGTTCGCGGTTAAACCACAGCCCCTCCCCCTTCCCCCTTCCCCCTTCCCATAACATGAAATCCTGGATCCTCGACCAATATAGTAAATCGTCTAATGAACCACTGTATGTAATATACAGTGTCCTGAGCATTAAGCGAGTTGTTACACAGGGGCATGGTAATTATGACATGTACCGTATGTATGTATGCTGAGAAACTTATCTAATACTGATGAGCTGTGAAGCTCAAAATAATAAAGATCTTGAACTTGAATGCGTATATAAGCTAATATTATCAGACATTTTACACGATGTTTAGATCTTTTTCTGTCAAATTCCAACTACAAAATTAGACTGGGTGTCTTAATTCTCGTGTCCCTGTGATATTGACACCGCAAAATTCCTGACAGGTACAACTCCGTATAGCGCAGTTCACCGGTTTTTCACAGTCATGCTTAAGATACCACAATAGTGTTTTGTATTTCGTAGTTGAAAATTAAGTTTTTTTTGTATCTCATTTTTAACAGAAAACGCAAACAATCGATTACCTGTAAAATCATCAATTTATAATATTCGTTTCATCAGAAAAGAAATATACATATTCAGAAGCAAGAATTACGACCAAGTAATTTGATCATCTGTTGACAAAACCGTTTCGTTTATTCCCAAATGCATGTAGAATAAGTAAAATTAAAAATAGTTTTAATATATTGCATTTAGTAGGCGGTCGGGGTTCGTTTGACCGGTAGGTGGTCACCTGCCCGACCACGTGGATTTTCGCCGGATAATCCGGATTCCCTCCACATAAAGATCCCCTTGTGCCGTACCATCTTAACCAACAAGAATGATTAATATAAGTTGATATAACTTCGTTCACAATTGTTGCCAAATAATTTAAGTTATCAAATAAAGTTTAATTAAAAATAAAAAAAACTTATCTTCGAAATTTAGTTGACTTATTGTCCAATTTGAGATGCTTTGTGTAATCAAAACGGCCACATTATACTTATTTCTGTAACATTTATTTGCTTTAATACCTATCGTTCTACATCTGTATTTTGATCAAATTCGACATGTGGCTTTTATTGTAATAAACAATGATAATTCTGCACACCCATTAAAAAATAAAGAGAAACTACATACTTTCTTTACAAAAATGTTCTTCATTAAAATCATGGTTTATTGATTTATTTGTTTATTATAACTAATCGATTGCACATTTATTTGGTACACAAACTTGATTACAATGTCACTTTCGTCTAATCTTAAATACACGACGATTCTAAATATAAATTCATTCAAGGGAGGTAACAATAACAATAGTCATGCGTATGGCATAAAACGTAGCATACAGTCTTAAATAAACGAATATTTTTTTTATTTTTTTTTACTTGTATCGCTGTAATAAGAAGCAATTACTACAAGTGATTCTTAGGTCAGGTGACCCCAGTGTTTATTGAATAGATATATACAAAAACTTGTAATGGTCATTTTTTTTGGCTTGAGCCACAAACAATAACAATATTTCCTCATACATTAACCTAATGACCTTCCCATCACGACTGAACTGGACAATGTCCAGTAGGCACGTAGTCAGCTTTTGTCCGGATACAACAAAAAAGTCAAACAGAAAAGAACAAAACTAATGTACAATCCTCAACACATGTTAAGTTCTGCCGGGCGCTAAGTGGTGTCCATTTGACTGGACAGTAGGCTGAAGGAGTGGTCAGATAGTGACCGGAGCCCACAACAAGGTAAGTCGTTGAACGGAAATGCTAATTTTGTCCATTGTTTTCACTAAAAGTTCCATATAAGACAAAACAAACCATTGGTTATCTTTTTACGTGCTTTAAATTTATTATTTTAACTAAGGATCCCCGTAACACTGCGAAAAACTGTAACTACGTCTAGAAAACTGTAATTAAGTGTTGAAAACTGTTTTTTCTCTTTTCTTCGGCATGACTATAGCTTTGATAAATCATTGTTGAAAAGAAAACCATACTTTGCGTAACTTTTATGCGAAAATATTTACATGTTGTGTAGCAAAGTTTATCTATATAACTTCTAAAGTACTGCATATAGCACGCACCATTTAGTTTGTCTGTGACATATGTGGTAGTTACTTTACTTTAAATATATGTATTGCCAATAAAATTGAACAAGGGATTGGGCACAAGTTATTACAACTTATCACAGCCTTCTCCCGTCGTACATTTACAATTACATGTCACCAATTGATGATAATAGGCATAAACATGAAATAGATATATATAATATTCATACAGGTACAAATACTCAACTTTAAAAAAGCACCGTTCACCGTGTGGTAGTTATACCAGTAGGTTTGCAACATCTATGCAGTTTATTGCTTAATAACACAGATGATATGACCAAAATATAATCAACAAATTGTTCTTAGTGGGAAAAATCCTGCGGGGCTACATCGTGACTCCAGCATTGAACCTCAGATTGTTATACTATAGCTCGACCCGACTAAGGTACCTGGTCTACGGAAATGTATCCGAACGGCAGTTAAAGGGAGGTAACTGTTCATACGAAAAACCAATCGGGAACCGTCGGCACTTTCCGTAAACGAGAAAATACTCGTTTACGGAATGTACCGACGGTTCCCGATTGACGAAAAACCACAAAAAAGCAGGTGGACAGGGATCCTTAATTTCCATTTTGTTGCTAATGATATTTGAATTGTAAAAAAAACAATCCACAAAAATAATTATCCGGATCATCCGGACAAAAACGATGGCTACTTTAGACCAAACAATTGTGAGTATATATGTGAACGCTTGAACACTTGTTAAATGTCAGTTGTTAAAACTACCTGGACTTTTATGGATTAAACAGATTTTATTGGCTATAAGGCACACATTTTCTCACTTAATTCTTTTCTTCTATCAATTAATTGCACAGACATGGTAGCAGAGATGCTACAAATACGGCATATGTTGCCCAACTCATACCCTGAACAAATGTACTACTGTTCTCTTAAAACCTTCTTTTAAAGGAACATCATAGTAATCCATAGTAAAACATACTATTATATTTCCTGTTGAATTGTGTCCAAATATGCATGCTTATGGAATTTTACATTCTTTTTAGGCATCTGATTTTTTTTTTGTAATTTTCAAGATTGGTTTCGAGTTTTGATTGGTCAAATTCCATTCGCGATTTGAAAATTTGCGCGTTTGCAATGCCACTGCATTTAATTGTATATTTCATAGCGTGAACAATTTGTTATCACGTGTATATTTTCACTTTGATGTTGAATTTTCTCTGAGAGAATTTTTTTCAGATTAGTTCAAAGTTTCCGGTTGGCATACATTGTATTTAAGGATTAACTTGAATATATTTTTCATGTCATGGAGATATAATACGAAAAACGGAGTGTACTCTAAAACAACCGCGAAGCCGTTTATGATGAGAGTACATTCCGGTTTTTTTGTGTTATAGCTAAAGTCAATCCTTATAATTTAATCTACTTTACACAATCCCTGAAGAAATCCACTTTTATTGATTGGCTCTTTTCTATTAGAAATTATTACGCCGCTGTATCATCCAATCAAAAGCGACGTTACAAACGGCGACGTCATTTATTTACGTTATGGGCTGATAACATATTTTTTCAAGACAATGAAACAATAACTATTAAATTATATAAAAATGATATTGTTAATTTGTTAATTCTTGCACATCTATTAATTCTTGTTTTATGTATTTGTACATTTTTTTATCAGGATGAAGTGTTTTCTGATCATCACTGTGGCAGTGTGCTCATGCGTGGCTGTTGTTAAGTCAACGCATCAATCCACTCTGTATGACAAATGCTTATACAACCAATCAGTTGTCAGTTTGGATTTACCGCCGATGGCACTTCGACGTGAATGCATAGAACTTTTTTCATTGGACATTAAAAATAACTTGTCGACGTACAACATAACATCAGAGGCATCCCTCTACATCGAATCATTGCTCCGGAAAGTGATAACCGATATTTCGCCTGGACATCGGGGAAAGCGTCAAGCCAATCGATGGAGCAGACGAGAAGTGAGAACTCTGACGCCGCGCGAATGGCGAATGTTTACTGGGCGTCTAAATAGGCTTAAACGACAGGTTGGTTTCTTATTAAATTGAAAATTAATATCTCTATAAATGCGCAAAACCTTACTCATATCTTGTTTTATATAACGACAAAAGTTCAAAACAAAAGAGGGAATTTCCGGTTATATTTCACGCATAATTACCTGTACCCGACTAGGCCACATGAACGTTAGGGATGACACTCTGGCACGTCTTCACAACTGGTTTTTATTGTTTTATTTTCTCAGCTCTATTGACATCCTTTCCACGATGCTACTATTTAAATCGGTCAATTACAAAAACGAAGAGTTTTTCTCTGATATGTACATCTTCGCTGCACCTTTAATTTTCTCATGACAAAATTGAAAGCTCTCCGTCAGCTGTTAGATCTAGATCTAGACATAAAACATAGCCCAGTTACAAGGATGATAGACAGCGATGACACGTGCATTGAAGATGATCAAAGAACTACTTTAAGATTAAACCGGGCCAACAAGAGTACAATTATTATAATTTATTTCACATTGTTTTGGAGGCATGGTAGTCTAGTGGAAAGACACCGGGCTCGTGACCGAAGGGCTGCGGGTTCGAGTCACGGCACGGCACTGTGTTGTATCTTTGAGCAAGATACTTTACTCCGCTTGTTCCAGTCTACTCAGCTGTAAATGAGTACATTGTTGGGCAGTGCTAGAATTGTAAAATGCTAGCTGGGATCGCCGAAATGGCAGCACCGGCTGTATGCTCCCAAGGGAGTTGAGAAAAATATTGTCTGGTTAAAGGCCCTATAACCACGGATAATACTTTGTGAACCGCTTTGAGACGACGCATGCACTAAATTGTGATCAAGCGGAGAGTATATAAGAACCTAGAATTATTATATTATTATTATTATTAGTTATGATTGTTGTAAAATAAAGAAGTTCATGCAAAAATAGAGTTTGAATTAAGCGCTGTTGTATAATGCACGTCAGTTGCCGAAAAGCTAACCGTGAAAGAACTAAATTTTCATATGCTCATGTTTTATAAGTAAAGGCAAAAATCATCATTGTGAAACACAGTATTGATGGTCATAAATATACATATGTCGGAAATCTTAATTCTTAATCTACGTTGAGTTGTTGCTGACAACCGACAAAGTCGTATAATCTATTTTCAGCTTTGCATATTTCAGGATATTTTTGTCCTACACATTGTTTATGTTATTTTTGTTCTTGACATCGATGTTGACCTCCACTCGATAATTCAAATTCCATAATTCTGATTGCAGAGACTTGGTAACAGCAACCGGTACGACGCCATTGCGAACGTCCACAGAGGCACCGTACTGGACTCTGCTCATGGAGGACCAAACTTCCTCGGCTGGCACAGGGTTTATCTTCTAGTGTAAGTTGTTTATCCATGACGAATTAATTCATTTATCTCTAAATCCATGTTTTCTTTTTGCAAGTGATTTACATTAAGCGGTACATGTGTATAAATATTTGCGAAAATTCAAGAGCGCAGTAACCGTGTAATCGCTCTCGTGAATATCCATTTTAGCAGCAAGAAGTAAATTATACTATCAGATAGCCTTTTTTTCCTTTGCAAGTACGAATGCTCTTGAATCAGTCATTCGAAACCAAACCGAAAATAAATGCTCACAAAAATTGAATAGATTGACATAAACCATTGATAGTTAAGTGTGCGTCGTCATGCATTATAATAATTTTACATCTTTTGGTCGCACTTTTGTTTATTTTTGAACTCCACGATAAAATAATGAAATCTCAAAAGAGAAAAATCTTGTTTATTCGTATTGTTCCTGTCCAAGTCCTATAGAAAAATCACTGTTATTGGAAATTGATCGTATTTCCGTTTCCAGATTTGAGGCGGCTACTCAATTTCCGACGCCATTTTGGGACTCTACGCTGGATTTCCACATGGTCGACCCCACTCAGTCTGTGTTGTGGTCTAGTGAATTCTTCGGAACAGGGTTTGGAACAGTGAATGATGGACCATTTGGGCGTTGGATCACTCCGGGAGGTATTTCGCTAGTCCGAAACATAGGCAACGGCGGAAGTCTGATATCGCGAGATGGCGTTCGTAATGTTCTCAGTAGAACCCGGCACAGCCAGATTGTCGAACCTACAAACCCATTGTTTGGCATAGAGGCGTACCACAACGGACCACATGTGTGGGTTGACGGTCAGTTATCTTCCCCTATGACGGCCGCACAGGACCCGATTTTCTTCCTCCACCATGCTTTTATCGACTATATATGGGAAATGTTCCGGACACGTCAAAGAAGGAACGGGATCGTATCGGCCCTCGACTACCCAAGAGTTCAAAACTCACTACACCAGCCTGGAAGGATCATGGATGGTTGGCCGTTTATCAGGGGGCTGAGGAATATTGACGGTTATAGTGAACGCTTTGCTAGGATATCGTCGTATTCAACTTCACCTAATTGTGCACGATGTAATAATCCGACCTGGCCGTTTCCGGTTTTGCAGTGTGACATGGCGAATCGACGTTGCATCTCTGCGCCAGTTCCACCGCAGGACGCTGCAGCGTTTGCTAGCGCCACGAACAGGGGAGTACAGGTGACACGCGCAAGGTCAAGCGTGGCACGAATAGGTCCCTTGCCCATTGGAGGCAAGTTCCTCTCTGTATTTAGTGACCCTCGGACTAGGGGAGACACCTTGCCATATGGTCCGCTAAACGCTTAGGTATAGAAACATGAGGTGCAGGTTTTACATTAAAATCATTAAACGAAAAACTTCAGATTTCAGATTTTTATTTCGCTCAGACAAACGTTATTGTGCAATAAATGGTCACACATGTACAAAACACTTTACATGGAGGAATATTTTAATTTCATAACGGTCTTGACGTTCTGATGTTTGATTTTACAACTTACCGCTTTCCCCTTGTTCTAATTTTGCTTACAATCTGTCGTTTTTGTCTGTATAGTGGTGTTCAAAATTGAAGAGTTTGACGGAAGATAGACAACTTGACATTTCTCTGCCTTGAACAAAGAGGTAATAGAAAATGGTATATGGCATACCTGCCAAGTTCAATTTTCCACATGGACATGACAATTAAGTCAGTGCGTACCTTGTTTCGTAATGCAGAGTTATCTGCTCTTGTGAGCTGGTGTTGATTGCTACGACATCAGTTTGAGTGAGAAAATTACGCCGTTTTCTCAAACATGTATGACGTTACTCGCACAAACAAATGACGTAACAATCAATACCTGCTCACAAGAGCAAATAACTCTGCAATACGAAAAGACGGAATAGCACAACCGGTGAAATATCTACATGTTTGTGTGACGTTTCAACGACGATATATACTCTGTCAGCCTCGTGAAACTAATGACCGGTAAAGTGCATGTACGTGTACGTTTAAAACGTGAGTTCTAACAAAAAGTAAAAGTATATTGTGTAAGGTAGCATTCCTCCTTAAGTGACACAGAACGGATCCCTTTTTGAACTTTGCCTGTACATTTATATGATATATATTGGTGATTTATGTCTGTCATTTAATAATTACACATCATCGATCGTTTAAACATTTATGATTTTTAAGAATGAAATTATATAATCATTATTTCGACATTAATTAATACTAATTCAGCCGTATGACATGTTTGAAAGCATATTTAAATATTGCCTACCTGTGACAATTGTGATGAAATGTCACGAGACCAGTCCCATCATGGTGACCCCGTTGACCTGTTAAACACGCACACTAATATAAGTGCACATACTGACAATGCTACCGATTTCATTCTGGAAAACTACAGTGTATTTCATTTAGCGGAACCTTTATGTTTAGCTAACTTCAATTGGAACCGATCTGATCAAATGAACAGCACGTTCCAAATTATATTACCGTATGTGCAAATCTAATAAACATTTAGGAAAGGGAAAATATGGTTCCGGAATTAATCTCAATGGTTCCGTCGTAAAAGTCAGCGATATTATATGCCTCAATTTGACAAGGTTTACATACCGTGATGTCATCTGGATTCGGTCATAATAATATATTAGACTGATTACATGTAGGACTGATCATACACATTTTAACTTGTTATACAGTACATAAACCAATATACAACTTAGGGAACATCTTATATTTTTTCTCTCACTGGCCGCCATATTGGGTCCAGTTTGGTGTTCCCGACGAACAGTAGCTAGTCTCGTTCAACCAGACTCCTCTTGTCTGCGCAAACTACGCAAAACAGAGAAGTGATCAAACGTCTGGTTGAACGAGACTAGACGAACAGGTTCGTATCATCTGAAGAAAAAACCGTTGGATTTGTAGTCATACATGCATAATTCTAACCAGGATTGCCGACAAATATTCATATCGCTCCCACGCGTCACATGTGTACATTAACATAAAACTTTATTTTCGCGAGTTTAAGTGCTTTTGAAGCCTGAAGTTAGTTTAAAGGTCGAATAAATGTCAGTTTAGATGTATGGCTTGATGTAAATTAATATTCGTTTTGGATATTTCAAATATATAATAAAAAAAACTATTTCAAAAGAAAATAAATTACATTCGGAGTCACCTCCACACACGAAATAAGTATGACTCATTATACATGTGATTGCCAATATATTAACTTTATTTATATAACAATAATCATAAAAAAGATAATCCACTTCATATTAATCACTCTTTTTGGTACGGATGGAAGCGCGCAAGGGGGCTAATGTGGGTAGACACCGGAAGGACCCGAAGAAAGCTGAAGTGGCAGGGCCCCTATACCTTTTCACGTCAGATCGGGGAATTAAACCCTGTCCGTCTTTGTGACGTGCGAGTGCGCTATCCACTGCGCCACCCAACAACCGTACTGTCTGTAGTTTCAAATACACACGAATTAGAATCCCTGTAATAAAAAGCAAATTATTCAATCTTGCTGGTAACAAGCATTTTAATTGGCTTACAAAAATATGTTATCAGCCCATAACGTAAAAAATGACGTCGTCGTTTGTAACGTTGCTTTTGATTGGCTGATACAGCGACGTAACAATTTCTAAGAGAAAATAGTCCATTAATAAAAGTGGATTACCACAGGGATTGCATATAGTAGATTAAATTTATAAGTATTAACTTGAATATATTTTTTTATGTTATGGAGCTATAACACAACAAACCGGATTATACTTTCATCATTTAGAGTAAACTCCGTTTTTTCGTGTTAAATCTCAATAATATGAAAAATATATTCAAGTTAGTCCTTAAATATGAAAACAACGTTCCGTGTTTTTTATTTTTCAATTCTTCATCACTGAATTTTCCAGCGAGAACAGTAAAATCATATCGGGTCCATAGTTAACGTGAATAAAAATATGTAGATTTTACATCATTAGACACAGTTCGGCCTTACTCATACGGAGAAGGAAATAGACGATAGGGAATTCACTTCAATCACCTGCATACTTACTAATGATTCCGCCAATACATCATATAAAAGAATAATTAATAACTCCCCACGTATCGAGAATGACATTTAGTCACGTGCATTTGCTGACGCTAGTTCGCCGTTCAAGGCACTGTGGTTAAATTTACTGACAAATATATTAAAAATCAGAAATGTCCATTCGTATGATGTATGAGAAAAGAAAATGACGTAGTCAATTTTTAAAGGTTTTACCCAATCAGATCACGTCTTCAGTTTACCTGATTCCGTGTCAGGCTGCTATTTACGTATTACAAATCACATGGACCTAAACATTTGGAGGGGGTTGGGGGTTCGGGGTGTGTGTCTATTCCCACTTATACATGTAAAACACATTTAACTGCTTTCTTTTGACATTCTTAGTCAATATGAATGCCAAATTACGAATTCAAAATGAATCACACTAAGTTCAATACTCTAATATACCATTCAAAAAATATTTGGATGCCATGGATTTGTTTTACGGAGCTTATCCCCTAAATCGCTTATGAAATAATAGCCCCTACATAACCTACATACTATTATTATTATGAATAGTCCAATCACACACTCTTCGAGTCCCTCTGTTCCGGACCGTTTTACCTGTCAACAAAAAAACGTAAGTCATCTGATTTTCTAAAAAGAATCCTGGTACCCTACTTCCGGTCTAGAATATTTATATTAACAACACCCAGAAAAATATGCGGATTGTAAATTATGATTGCATAGCCAATGGTTGTAACTTTCCTGATCGCTAGAGGCCCAAATATGCATTTAATAACAGCATACATCATCCGGAAATAGGTGACTCGAAAATCAGCTATTGGTCTTCATGTCCCTGGGTTTGGTACAAGGTTTGAGGGAGTGTGCAGCACGGCACGGCACTACGTTGACGGGATAATCCAATGACATGCACAAATATTGTCATTTCACTTCCGGTTCCGGATTGGAACAGTTTTTCTTTCTATAACGCCCAATTAAAAAAAAATATACATTGGCGTGGATACAATAAAAAAACGAAACTCTCATGGACTGAAATATTGTATGTGAACTTATATAATTATTATATTACCAAAAATATAACTCACATGTGTTTTTTCTCACGAATAATAAACAATATGACATAAATGAAAAAAATGTAATTTCTTAAAATAACCCCTGCCTAAAGAAAAATAACAATGAAAAAACTATTAACTGAAACATTAAACATTCATTTTTTTGGCCTAAACGATCTAGAACGAGTTTCGATTTCATATGGGATTTTAAAGAGTTTAAGATATTTTTTCTAATTTTACCGAGCCTCTGTAATATTTTAAGAACATATTTTGTTTCAACTTACAACAGGTTATCGTATTCAAAGCAAATTTAAATTAGTTTATACATTTATTTCTATATAAAGACAACCTTTGTCTATCATTGAAACTGACATAAAGGTATAAACATGTTTACTTGAAAAAAGGAATGCGTTGGCCTATACGTCTCCCTCCCTATCATAATAAACAAATTACAAGTATAGTAAGCTTGAACAGTAACATTTCTATTTACCATTTTTTCTTTTTCTTTTCCTTCTTTTTTTAGTCAAATATGTCTAGAATTTATGATATTTTATGTACATTATCAGACCGCAGTTATTTCAAATCCCCGGACGTGCTCATATTATGTTCAGTTCAAATAAAAAGGGAGAAAATCCCAGATTGAAATAAAAACTTATTTTGTCTTAAGCTGACTATGCTCGGTACAGCTGCGTTATTCTAGATAAAGACATTAGATTAAGTGTAGCGTCCGTTTTTGGTTCTTTTCAAATGTTGACAATTTATTTTCCAATTTCCTGTACGGTGGTGTAAGTATTGTCTGGAGTGATCAATTTGACCTTTGAATCAGTTTGACCTTGTCTACTTAATATCTTAATCATAAACTAAATAGGACTTTGAATATCTGCTTTGGGTAAAAATTAATGTCACTCATGAATACTAATTACCTCTGACTTTTAGGATCCCGTAATGCATTTATTATAAAGCTATTTGAGTTTTTACGTCATTTTCTAAGCATACGGCAGTGGTGTGACACTGATTTAAAATGTCTTGGTTTTTTTTTTAATAATTGAGTAAGATGGCTAACTGCGCATGTCAATACGATATTACATGTATATGAAGAGTAACAAAAGTTTTTTGCTTGGCCGTTGGCGTTGGGTCAATCTTAAGTTATCGATAAGGGAAACTTAACAACTATCGATTTCTTGTGAGGTTATGTGATTGACGTATTCAAGGAGCTTCACTGATAACAAGGCATGGTATGTATTAGTTTAAGTATATCTTTTTTTATAAATTGAAAGTTTCTAACTTACAAAAAAAGAAAGTACTATAGTACTACTCAATGAATTTCAAATTGTCTTACATTTCAAGTTCAGTCAATTGTCTATATTTCTATGCATGGAAAACATTTAAGCAATATAAAGTAAACAATAACGATTCAAATGAATAAGATTGGTCGGATTTTAAAATAAAATAATCGTGATTTCTGTCCAATTTGAATGTTTTATACTGGCAACAAGCGAGTAACAATTCAGTATTTTTATTGAATTCGTCATTTATCAAAAATGCCTATCACTTATGAAAAAATAAATAATTTGTTTCTCTCATGACAAAAAATTCAGCTGATATAAATATGACATTATTTCAATTAATAAAATAATCAATATCTGAGAGTGATGGCATTTATAGCGAAATTTTGATAACACACCTCATAAGTTTGATTATTTTAACAATTTCAAATATTTCGACATTTGAGGATATTTTTTTTCTTAGTTTTATTTTGTGTCGTGTATTCTCCAATACGTGTGTTCAATCCTATATAATGTCTTGTTTAATAAAAATACAACAAGTAAACGAAAAGGAATGAAATTATTATTCACATTATCATTTTATTTTAAAACTTGTTCTTAGATTTAGATATAATGATACATATCTGAATTTGCAGAGAAAGGAAGTAAAAATACACGTTCAGAAAAAAGCGCAATTGTTTAGTTTCAGAGTGTTAAAAAATATTTTTTGATTTACCCATGCAGGACAATACAATGCACGAGGATATTATCTTACATCCCTAATTCCGTCTTTGCTTATTGCAGAGTTATCTTCTCTTGGGAGCAGGTATTGATTGTTACGTCACTTGTTTGTGAGAGTAACGTCATCAATTTTTGAGAAAACGACGCAATTTTCTCACACAAACCAATGACGTAACAATCAATACCTGCTTCCATGAGAAGATAACTCTGTAATACGCAAAGACGGAATATAGTAAGAAAGTAAGGCATTGTATAAACTATCTCGTATTAAACTTTTGAAAGCTGTCGTATTATATTGTAATTTTATTCCTCCGTTTATAATTCATTCAATTACGTGTTCATTAGCTCGTCTGTTCATTAACTCTTTCAAACATGAATTCGTTCGTTCATTGTTTAATAGTTAATAAATTCGAGCATTCACTCGCTCATTCATTCATTGTATTCCTTCTTCGTTCGTTCGTTCGTTCGTAATTTAATTGTGAATAAATTCGATCATTCATTCGTTCATTCATTTTTATTCCTTCTTCATTCGTTCGTTCGTTCAAGTGTCTCTTCATTCATTCGTTTGTTCGTTATTTAATATTAGTACATTCATTATTATTCAGTCGTTTGTTTGTTTGCCCATTTATTCATTATATTGTTATTCACTCATCCATTGTTCCTTTTATTCATTTAATCATTCGTTTGTTTGTTTGCCCATTTATTCATCATATTGTTTTTTTTGGTTCGTTTGTTTATTTGTTTATTCATTCTGTAACTCATATTTTTTACAACATTCATCTTTCATTCTTTATTTTCTCAGTTTCCATGAAAATGGGTTAAATAATCCATTCGGTTTATCTCGTTACATAAACAGCACACATTAATTCATTACTTAAATATACAATAATAAATAAACCCTAATTTATAGATGTTAATTAAGGATAAAGCGGTTAATTTCTTTATTATTAGGATATGATAAATTATACAAATAAGATATTATAAACAGCTATAATTTAAACAAGGGAGATACCTACAGAAAACTCGCAGATCTAGTTATCAAATGTCTTAAGTATATATATAACTGTTAACAAGACGCAGATTGCTGGTAAGTATACTTATACGTAGATCATTAAATTATCATTAAATCATTAGGTTAATTACCGTGAAATGATGTACGTGTCATAATTAGATGGTTTATAGCTTTTAATGATTAAAACTTTCGAAATGTCACGACCTCATAATTATAAGCCGGCCAACATTATAAAGAGCAAGTATAAAAAAACACATTTAATGTATTGTGGTTATATTAATGAACTCGATATATATACCAAAACATATTTGTCGTTTTTATTTTCGCTGATTTATGTCTTTTTATTACAATTTTATTTACTGTTTAGCATTTTCTCATACTCTTTCTTGCAACTTTATTGGTATCATTTATTCATTTCATATATCGTTGGCTATTTACATTGTAGTTGATACATACAACATTTTTGAAAACTTAATTGTTTATACGTGCTGAATTTGGTCGTTTTCAGATGCAGTGGTGTGCTGTATCAGTGTTTGGCCTTGCCGTCATTATCCATATCGTGTCTGCTCGATTCCGAGCTATTTTTCCACCAGAAGAAATCTTAAAATGTTTTGAAGAAAAACGTTTTCATACCAATGCCACCGATCCACGCTGGGACTGCAGTCACAGTTGGTGTGTACAGAAATTCCGGTGGCACATGGCAAAACGGCTGTGGCATAATATCTCCAGTGAAACAAACCAATGGGTGGATGAGCTACTGCGCATGACGGAAGGAGAAAGGCGGAAGCGACAGGCGGAGCCATTAAGAGTTCGACAAGAGTATCGCCGTCTTACAGACACAGAAAGACGAAATTACCATAGAGCAATACAGATGCTCAAGGCGGATTCAGTGAGTAATTCTCCTACGTAAAAGTTCTTGATTTTGATTTTGTCATGACATTATTTGGTACTTGAAATTTGGAAAAGTGCCTATATCGGATTAATATGATGTGGCTGTGCTTGGAAGATATTTGCGAATGACTCTCCTCAGATATTGACGCGAAAGTATCTGAGGAGTGTATGTCGCTCTTCAGGAAGGCACGGTAGTCGAGTGGTGAAAGCTGGGCTTATGACCGAAGGGTTGCGGGTTCGAGTCACGGCACGGCACTGTGTTGTGTCTTTGAGCAATCTACATTACTCCACTTGTTCAAGTCTACTCAGCTGTAAATGAGTATGTGGTTGGGTAATGCTAGAAATGTTGAATGCTAGCTGTGAGCGCTGAAATGGCAGCTCCGGCTGTATACTCCCCAGTGAGTTGGGAAAGATATTGGCTGGTTGCAAAGGCCCTATAACCACGGATAACAATTTTCGAACAAAGAGACGACCTACGAACTAGGTTGTGATAAAGCGGTATATAAGAACCTCGAATTATTATTATTATTATTATCATTTATTGGTTATTTATCTATTTCAACTTTTCGGTCCATAAATACAAAACAAAAGTAAATATGTACTGTCATACAGTACCAGACGCAAACAAAGTAGAATGGGCAACAATAGAAATGGTGGGAAATAAACGGAAGGAATGAGAAAGACACAAATTGAAATTTTTAGAAGCGAAATTATGCTTATCAAATTAGATTAACAAATCAATTCTATAAGAGTTTTTTTTCTTGAAACTGATTTACATTTATTTTCCAGTCTATTCAGCCAAACCGGTATGACGCCTTAGCAAATCTTCATCAGAAACTAGGAGACGACATCCATCACGGCGCAGCTTTTCTAGGCTGGCACAGGGTCATGCTAATCATGTAAGTATTGACACAGGGTCATGCTAATCATGTGAGTTTTAACACAGGGTCGTGCTAATCATGTGAATTTTTACACAGGGTCGTGCTAAGCATGTAAGTATTGACACAGGGTCATGCTTATCGTGTAAGTATTAACATAAGGTCATGCTAATCATGTAGGTATTGATACAGGGTCATGTTAATCATGCAAGTATCGGCTTTTACGGATTCTGAGCCATCTTATCGATCAAAGTTTTAATTTATTTCATCAGCTTCCTTTCGAATCAGTTGAAGACAAATATTTCATTTAACTGTGTATAAAATAAATGTATTTGAAGCCAAATTGGCGTTGAACTGCTTTCAGTTAGCGTTCCTCATCAATATGTTTACACTCTTTGGCATTATTACAAGACAATCCTACCAACTTCACATGACATTCATATCAAATATTATACAAAACATAAATAAAAGGTACTTTCTTCAAGTATTTCATTTTTGAGAAGAAAATTCTCTCGACTTTTAATGTTCTTTTACCAGATACGAGAATGCTCTTCGCCAGAAAGTTCCTTCAGTGATTCTGCCGTATTGGGATTCCCGGATGGATGAACGCCTTACCAATCCGAGTCTTTCCGTCATGTGGACGGGAGAATTTATCGGGAACGGCTTCGGGAGAGTCGCCAGTGGACCTTTCGCTTACTGGCAAACCCCTTCTGGGCCCCTTGTCAGGAATTTAGGACAAGAAGGTCAGTTACTGTCGAACAGACAGACGCAAGCGATACTCTCTCGAGTCCGGATGTCAGACATTACCGAGCCGCATGCGCAGCCTCCGTTTGACTTTGAAATCCGACACGGAGAGGTTCATAAGTGGATTGGTGGACTAATGGCGCCAGCTGAACACTCCGCGTTTGATCCTGTATTTTTCCTGCATCACACGTTCGTGGATTATTTGTGGGAACTTTTTCGTGTGAACCAGCGCAGGGCCGGAGTAAATCCCACAACGGACTATCCACGGAGATTTGGTCCGGCATCACAGTCTCCGAATTCAAAGATGGGTTTTGGGAAACTCAACATGATTCATGGTCTGAGTGACATATATACGTCACAGATTTACACCTACGAGAACTCTCCCACGTGCACATATCGTCAGACAACTTGCGGTAGTAAGTATCTCCGGTGCGAGGTTCGATTCGGGTCGCCTAACTGCGTGAGTGTTACTGCAGTCGAATCTCAAGCGTTTGGAAACGGAAATCCGTCCAGAATGGGTACGTCTAGAGCAAGACCGACGCCCCGGTCCGGCAACAACCAACGACAAAGACCGATTCCCCGCACCGGAAGTGCGTCAAGAACACGCGGAGGTCCAATGAATAACAATTTAGCTCAATCACGTGGACGGCAAATGCCCCCTATGGGACCCCAAACACGCGGGAGACAAACGCCTCCTGGAGGTCCCCAGTCACGTGGTAGGCCAATGCCTCCCAACATGTGGTCGCAACAACCCCCGTCATCTCCACAACAGCCGCCTCAAATGCCACCATTTCCGCCTAATTTCTTCGGCAACAGAGCAAAAAGGAGTTCGGGAAATGGAAATGGAAAGGGAAAGGGAAAGGGAGCGGAGAACCATCTACAGATTTTCAGAAGTATGGGCGAAATCTGTCCGGTGAAAGAACCGCCGCACGCAATACAAAATATATTCGAAATGAACGGATTGACGGATACTCGGGTCTGGGTTTACGTACCCGTTGAAATCGTGTTGAAGCGAAATCCTCAACTCCAAAAGTTCAACGTTTTTCCAATTCAAAACTCAAAAATTGTTGATAATGTTGACATGTATGATCCAACACAGTATGCTAGTTTGAAGGAATTTTTTATCCCACAAGACGACAAAGGAGCTCAATTCTGTAAAGCGGAAAGAAAAGATTCAGTTTTCATGAAAATGATGGTTCACAGTAATGGGCTGAACTATCACGGAACTTATCGGGAATTCGCACTTCTTGATGCGAGGCAACCTTTTTCTTCGTCAATTGTTTATATAGCTGTAAAAAGTCCAGAAAAACATTTAACGGAAGTACTTTTAACTACATACGACGAGTGCGGACGAGTATGTCAACCGTACTGTCGAAAATCTGGAAGATTTGTTCCTTGTTCCGGGGCAGTGCAAATAACTTCATCACCTCCTAAAATGTACGGGACCGATTACGGCGACGCCGTGCGATTAGTGTGGGACGTATCAGGGGAGTTTCCGGTTCTGAATCATGACAGAATTTCTGTGAGATTTCTTTGTTAGACCATTAATTTATTTTTTAACGTTTTGTCTCTTGTCTTCGTTATTACATTGTCATTGAATTACCACAGATTGTGTTTTATTTATTTATTGTGTATAGTTAATTACAAACGCACCCATGTAGGTTCGTACATATACCCCTCATAACACTTTGAGACCATTAAGGGGTATCAACAGAAAGACATAACGAATTCAGTTAATGAATTAATTAAAACATAACAATAACAATAGCTATATATGTACTTGCTGTTTTGATAAAAGCACCCTTTATTGATACGCAATGTTGACGTCTGAATCTGACGACAGTTTTTGCAGATATAAATGAAACGAATAGTGCGCATGCGTAAGTCAGTTACGGCTGTATCACTTTGTCTCCACTATACGACCATTGCAGGTACACAAATAAATAGCTAATTATCATGTAACAGTCTCTCATAAATTACAGAATAATTCAACCTGCCAAAATCATACCATAAGTAAACCAATAATTATGTGTAAAAGGGAGTTTTGTTTTCTTTGTTCTTGTTTTACGTCTTACTAATAGCTATGGTCATTTAAGTACGTGCCAGGTTTTGGTGGTGGAGGAATGCCAAAGTACAGGGGGGAAAAACCCCGACTTGTGGCCAGTACCTGGCGACTGCCCCATGGTGGAGGTCTAGTGGTCGTAGCTATATAGACGGTCAGACGTCTTAACCACACGGTCACCGTTTCCTCAACAAGAAAATTAAGTGGTTTTACATATATAATGTTATTTTTTCCTGGCTAACGATTCATGCAAAAAGTCCTATCAGCGAATTCCACAACTGCAGACATTAAACAGGGGATCGTTATACATATCAATGCATTTTCTCTTTTCCGTGTGTAAAAAAGGCCCCGTTTAAAATGCTGTACTGTTTCCATAACAATGGTCCAACAACCGTTTTGCTTTTTCTTTGGTCGCCTTATATTTATATATTCATACATGTATACAAATGATAAATATATATTTAAAATGCGAATATATATATGAACTTATGATATATATTATAATTACATGTATTTATTTTAAGAATCCAATTTTTCACAACATCGCCTTAGCTGCCGTTTCATTTTAAAATTGTCTGAAATTGTTATGGAGGTGAAAGTTTTATACGTCAGATAAGCATTTAAATTGAACATACCTTACACTTACAGAAAACAACAACAGAATGCTATTAAAACAAAAAAAATCTTTGTGTCCTTAACATAACGATTTATAGGGAAGTCAGGTAGAAACACTGACGTATCTTGTCAAACGTCACGCACCAAAAAATAACATTTACCAGCTGTGTATGTTATCACACTGTATCACCTAGAAGCTATACTCTATCCAACTTAAGGCTGTATGCTACCTTTCAAGAACCGCGCGTCTTCTTTATAAAAGACTTCAATGGTGAGAAACCTGCGTCTTTTGAAAGTCACTTTGGACTCAATAGTTACGGATGCAAATTATGGACATTCATATAATGCACATTTTAGTAATGTATTAAAACATTTCCGGGAAGGGGGATAACTCGAACACAAGTTACATGTATTTTCAATTTGAATTGAATTATAAGCAAGACATGTTGAAAAAGTTATTGTCAATAACTCTAACAAATTGATCACAAAATTCTGGAACTTAAGCAGGTCTACGATAGTTGTATTGTCACAATATCCAATTTTAATTCATGTTGAAAAATAAAATATAAAATATTTTGACCTTAAATACATACTATCAGGGTACTACAGAATACCCTCTTGTACTCCAAGTCAACCGTAGGCTATAAAATTAAGTAAGTCACTGAAATGCGGGCACTGCTCTGATAGCGATTCATGTCTTATATTCTGTTTCCTTGATCCCGTGTCATCATGACTGACGACAACAGTGACCCTTAAGTTACTTACAAAGAAACATGACAGGAACAGGGCGGTTGGTTAGTAAAACATAAAGTCGTGAGGTCATCCGAACACCGCGCATACATCGTATCCCTCTGCACTCTAGGTCCATACATGATTATGAGTTATAAACCACAACCGCATACGAAGTGGCAAGAAAGATCAAATAAAGGTTCTAAAATACTTATTTTATAGATGTATCCGGACTGAGTAATTTGTGTACAGTTTTTTGCTTACATCTACATTTCGTGTAAGCTGTCGTGTTTCAGTTAAGGAAACTAAAGACCTTTATTCCCAGATTTGTAACGTTGGTTTTGATTGGATGAGATATAAAACGTCAACACTGACCTACAAAACTGCATATATAGTGTAATGACACAACTGTGCACCTTGTGGTCAAGTGAAAGTACGTTAACTATTTAGATATACAATAAATAAATATTTATTATGGTAACCTGAGATCGAATGTTCTATTATGCTGGATTTGATTGTGTCCTTTCATAAATAGTTCATTTTTCATCATTAAGTTTCTTGTAAAAAAGTGAAACCAAACTTTAAGTTTCAAAACCCAAGATGGCTGTCTGGTGGCCATTTTGTTTTTACGATCAGTCTCAAAATGAAACACGTACAATTTTGGGTGAAGGGGATCTTTCATATCAATTTCGTGAAAGATCTGTCTTGTGCTTCTTTAGAAAAACTAATAAAAAGTTTGAAATTTCAAAATTCAAGATGGCCACCTGGTGGCCATTTTGTTTCACCGATTCATTTCGAAATGAAACATACACAAAAACAAACCAATGGGAACTTTCAGTTGAAATTTGAGAAAGATCTCCCCAGCACGTTGAGAAATAGCGATAAAAAATATTAATTCTCATATTGAAATATTGCTTCCGTATGTCCATCTTGTTTTTTCTGATAAGTCTCAAAATAAAACATGCAGATCGAGGGAACAAGGGGAATCTTCATATGAAATTTGAGAATGATCTGCTATTACTCCTGGGACAATCGCGATACTGAGAAGTTTTTAAAGACAGGCGATTTGAACAACCCAACAAGCCAATTAATGCACTCAATGGCAGATTATGCGAAAATCATTATCATGACAACAACAGAATGTGATAAAAAGTTGTCAAGGTAAACAATCGCAGATTATGCGAACATTATGATCATGACAACAACAGAATGTGATAAAAAGTTGTCAAGGTAAACTTCGTGTCTTTAAACAATTTGAAAATTACCTAACTCGAGTTGGATAAATATGATAACCAGCCACTACGAATGAATACATCGAGAGCAACATAGATTATTTTGCTTTCATATAGTGTAAAAGCTATTTTGTGCAAGGTCGCGAAGCACGTTCATCCAAGAAGTCGGGAGTGAGGAACCCTCTAATGGTTGTGGAAGAACAAATGTACAAACTAAAACGATTTTTGTTTTATTTCCACCAGAAACTGACAGAGAAACTTACTGACAATGACCTTACGTAGTGCCAACATTTTTGCGGGATAAACAACATCTCTCCTTCCTCCAGAACGCACTCTCGGTAAGTGGCGTTCTTAAAACGAGGAAACTTCGCGTAATCCGGATTTACCGCATCTACCTGACTTGTGTTGTCCATGAAGCCGTCATGGGGGTACAAATAAGGGGTCATGACCTCAGAGTATAGTCGGATATACTTCCGGCCCACAACCTGCGCAAGAAAGTTCTCTTTTGGGTCATGATGTAATGGCGATACCGTTCCTTTTGGACCAAACCATGCGTTGATATCCACTTCTTCAACGTCATCATCACTTGTTTCCGGATTCGTACTTCCGGTTCCGCCCAGAACACAATAATCCGGAATCACAATATCGTCCTGAAGTTCGGGAATTTGGTTGAAAAGTTGATGTTGAGCCAAGTAGCCTACTGGTTTATCTTGTTTCAACCTTGAACCTGTGACATCATTCGACCTGGACATATCCGCTGTGATGAATTGATCTATGAATTCACTGACCGTCATCAACTTCTGGGTCCATTTATCATCTGTGTATTTAGACCCTATCTCTATGGGAACCGTCCTGTAACCGGCTATTTTCTTGAGATAGTCTAGTGACCATCTTCTACAGCCCATAGCTGGCCAATGACCCATTGCATCTGTTATGATCACGGGATGCTTAGAACACAAGTACTCCTTTCGAAAGAGTTCCATCGAAGGGCATCTTACTCGTTTAATTTGGTTCTTTGATTTTATTTTAATGTTGGTAATTTCCATTTTCGGTTTCTTTGATATATTTTCAAAATGCTCACAATTTCCTTCTTTACACATTTCAGAACATTGGCAACACAAACGAGTAGATTTGGCATCTTCATTTTCTGTCAAATTGTCACTTTGTATCAATTTTTTTCCTGATGAAGTCAATTCTGCTCCGGGTGTCTGGAAACTGGAATTCGTACCTAACCAATCATGAACATGTAATGACAGTTTTGAAAGAACGTTTCCAAAAATAGGTGCTCCCATCAAGAGACCCATATCGAATGTTTTAATGGAGTTTGCTAAATTATTTTTAATTACGTCATTTCCGGTATTTTCACTACGAATGGTTGCTATGACCACCTCACTCGCGCCCTTCAGCAGTGAAACAAGCGAGTACAAATATCGCCAACAAAGATGGACGTCTTTCCAGTGACCAGTGTTGAGTTTCTCCCATGTAAGGTCCAGTAGTGGTTCACAAAGCTGGACACATGAGTCGTACTCTTTACTGAGGAAACTCTCCACCGCACGACTCAGCAAACTGTTAACAGAGGGCGCCATTTCGTTCGGGGTCGTCAAGCAGCCAAGGAGTGCTGTGTTTGACTCCGGAACGGCTGCCATTACGTTCTGTACAAGGTCTGCCGCCATGTCTGATAACTGTAATGAAGTGAGGAAGTGAGGCAAACAGTTGATATATAATTTCACAAAGCATATGTCAAAGAGTCAATAAGTTATGGGAACCCTAGCTCAAGGTCAGATCGATTGTATTTCATTTTGAGATTTCAGATTATCGGTAATCTAAATTTTGAAAATAGAAAACCTAAATTTAAAAAAAAAAATCAACAACAACAAAAAACCAGATTAATCTGAAATTTCTAAATAAAATCTACGATTTCAAAATAAAATCAAAGCATTCAGGCCTTAAGCTATTTTTTTCATCTTATAATGAGTAAAAATAAAGCGATCAGTTAGTGCCACTTTTAAATGCTACTTGTATGTCTTAATTGGTTTTGAGATAATAAGATATAGTTTTTATTTACTTACCTGTTAGCTATTTCGTAAATACGAGAAGAAATCAGAGCTCTATCTATACATGCACGCCTCTTATGTCGCAAAAACAACGACACCTATACTAACCTGGCAAGGCAAGGTTTAAGGGAACTTTTGGATTCGTTTTCTTTTATTTATTTTTCCCACAAAATTAAGGGATAAACTTGATAAGGGTATGTGATTCAGAATTTTATGTATGATTTTCTTGATGTATACTAAGTACTTTGACTGGTGTTTTAATCAAAATGTAAAACTCGTGGCATTTAGCCTGCGTTAAACTTCAAACGGACAAGATCAAATGCTACACTGACATTAAAAACATTTATAGAAAGGTCATATGCCTTATGACACTGTCTGGTCTCGACATTAAATCGATAGAGCCTTAATTGATCTTATTTGTATGCAGGCATGGATGTTGCTTAAAACAAGATACGTATATGTAGTGTGTTATTTATAGTAGCATGACAATAGAAGGGCTGTAAACGTGGTTAATTTATACATGTTATATGTATAATCTACATACAATTAAGGACCCCCGTACCTTGGTTTGGTTTGGTATTGTTTAACGTCCTATCAACAGCTATGGTCATTCAAGGACGGTCTCCCTTGTGTGCAAGATGCATGCGGTAGTGTATGCGTGTGTTTTGGGAGGTTGCGATATGTTCGTGTTTGTCTCCTTGTGATAGCGCGGAACTGATGCCCACTTCATAGTGCTACCTCACTGAAACATACTGCCGAAGACACCCAGCAGGACACCCCACCCCACCCGGTCACATTATAATGACAACGGGACCCCCGTACCCCAGCCAAAATATGTTACTAATTGTTAAAAACTTTTCTGTCTTGCATGACTATATATATATATATATTTGGAAAATCATTTCTGAAAAGAAAATTATACCTTGCAGGACTTTTATGAGAAATAGTAAAGATGAAATAAACATTTTATAATCAATAACAGTGTTCTGAGTGTGAAGAAAATCAGCAGGACTAGACCGGGATTTGAGTGTACCTATCTTCAATTATTCATATATTTATTGTCACACTCGACTGTTGCCATTTTACCATGTCTGTGTTGTAACGACGATTTTGATTGGTTGCTTGAGGATAGTATACAGCTACATTTTGTAGGTTAAATTCGTAAAACTATACAAAACAAGTTTCAATTTATGTTGAAGCAGGCTTTTAGCCAGGATTTCAAATGTCCCTGTCCAAAACGTTGATATTATAACTAATTTTACAAAACTGTCTGTCAAAATTGATTTACAATAGTAAGGTTATCAGAAAACTGCCTGTCAAAAAGACAGGTGGACCGGTGGCTGGCTAATAGCCTGTTCATATTTTCGTATTTTCTATATAAAAATAATATAATCATAAAAAATACACTGCATCTTGGGGGATACAATATATATTTTGATATATTGCAATTTTCACTAAATATTGCAATACGAAGTGTGCTTCCAATACCCACCCCTTTAAACAAGTTGGTTGTCACACAAAGCCTAACTACCATTGAATATATAAATTAAAATAAAATATGTTTAAAACAAAAAGCAAACTTAATTAAGATAATATTGAATAAAAATCTGAAGAATATGTATTTCAAGGCTGTGACTAAACCCCCAAACTATCAGTAAAAAAATAATGCAGGGTATCGCCATTTCATAATGGTATTAATATATTGCTAAAAATAGACAGATATTACAATATTTGTATTGCAATATTAGGCCTCTTGAACACCCCGATATTAATTGTATCATATATTTTATGTTGATTTAATCTTCCTGTTACTTCATTACAACCGAAACTGACCAGAAAAAGATAGACAGAAAGATACTATAAAATAAAGAGACCAGAAACTTCAGTATTTATTTGACATAAATGAGAAAGATAGTCAGTTATGTCGAACTCAATTCTTATGTATATTTTACGCCATTTTCTGATATGCAGGGATTTGACGTTTAAGTCAATGGGTTTAAATGAACAGTCGGTAATTGCCCAAAACCCATCTCCATTTTGGAGATGACTTTTATACGGAGTTATTATCAAAACAAAACTCATCCACAGCAGGTCACAGGGACTTGATCATTTGTTCGAGCTATATTTGGACCGAAACTGAGGTGTGTAGTAATTTTACACGTCATACGGTTTGAGATCAAGAACGTGTAAAATTAATCTGCATGCCTCTGTTTAGGTCCAGATATATGGCTGTGGCAAATTCTCAGGTCTCTGTACATAGGATAGGTCTAAACACATATGAACGTTTGAACATAAATTCTCAGGTCCCTGTGATCGATACAATGTTTATAATAACACTCGAGGAAGAATTTTTAAATCTTTTATATCTATCTAGTTAACTGGACACCTTCTTAGATGTAAATAATGGAGAAGTAAGAGGAAAAGGAGGATGAGGATGAGGATGAGGAGGATGAGGATGAGGAGGAGAGGAGGAGGATGAGGAGGAGAGGAGCAGGAGGAGAATTCGATTATCGAGGCTACTTTTGTAGGTCGGACACCACAAACGACACGGGAGACATGATACTTACGAGCTATTCATGAACATGACCGGTATAGACCGGACTATAAATTCCACAGTGTGACCTGACATGTACTTTAACTATTTTCAACACGTATATTAGAATTAAAATGTATCTGACCATTGTCACATTGTGCTGCATGGATCAGAATCGACTAGGCCTACTGAACAACTTACCTCGAGCTCCGATTTTATAACACATGCCTTTCACTTCATTTCCTGTATAGGGGAAGCAACTCGTATTGATAGGTTAGTTATTTGTATAGGTAGCACTACACCAAACCACAAGGGAATAAATGTAGGCGGCGGTGAAGGCGACTGTGTTTTAAAACGGTATTCCGATATATCACAACTTGATATTTAGGGCTGTTTTTAACAAATTTTACTGGTATAAGGGCATGTGTCCTTCTTCCCAAATAGAGTGCACTCTGAGCAGCCTTGAGAGTGGAACCCCTAGCCCCGGGTAAGGTCCATTTTTTAAAATTATTAATGTCGATCTGGGCAGTATGACATATGTACATACACCATTTGGAAGAAAAAGTCCATGCATTTCATAAAATAATAACAAAAGGGGCAGAGATGTCCGTATTTTAAGAATTATTTTAACTTTTTCAGTCGGGAAATGGTAGGTTGTTATATATACCATCATGTGAAGCTATGTCCCACCAGGGACGTATACTGTCCCTGGTCACACGTATGACATAAAAAAAGTAGCGATTCGGTATACTGAAAGATCTCAAAACTAGACAGAAATAATCTAGTCATTTTGAAAAGGTATGCAAGTTCTAGTTTGATTCATGAAAAACAACAGAATTTAAAACAAAAAACAAAAACGTTATAACTCTGGAATAAGGTTTTAAATATCACCATGCTAAATTACACATGTTCAGTGCCGATTCGCCTGCAGCATCGCTGTTCAAAGTATTTCCAATGCACAAATTAGTATTTTTCGTTTTCAAAAGATTTTTAATGACATGGTTGGATAATGTAAGTTATTATATTTCAACCGATCTATTATCACAGCCCTCGGTCTGATATTGGGTCCTCGGGATGATATGGCATGTGATATGGATTTTACCATGTAATTTTCTCTATATACAACTCGTGGGAAAAGACATCCCAAATTCTATCAGTTCGACAGGTAACAGTAATTATTTATCTCCCCTCTTCTCCCGAAAAGTCTGACTCACCCGTGTTCAACTACACACACACACACTACTACTAACACAACCGCCATAACTTTGTGGGCGCACAGTGTCGTGGGGAATGGTGTAAAAGGGAACCGCATTCATTTTTACTTTGCAGACTTGTGGCAGTCTAGAAAATTTCGAGTTTCGATAGCAATCGAAGGGGACCAAAACATAGAAGTCATTCCAGAACAGGACGATGCTAAACCGATACAAGAACACGAATACATGGTTGTCGACTCGGCCGAAAATGAGGTGAGTTTGTCATTTGTCAACATGTAAAAGAAAGTGTGCTGGAGTCTTTCAGGTGTAACACACACCGCCATTCAAGGTCGTTATAAATGCGCGGGAATCGATCATTTTTATTTCAAAATCTAAGTGCGATTCCTTTCTATTTCCAGAAAAATTGCTGAATAAGTTCCCCATTAAATGTATATTAAGATAAGTTGACCAACTTGGAAAAGTTTCGAAGTTCTATTTTCGTTCAGTAATTATAGTTGTGCAAACGATACGGTGTGTTATATTTTAGGGTGTGTAACGTTATAGTATGTTTGCTCACGGACTTAGATAACTTATCTAATCTAATTCCGTGGTTTCATGTTTGTGAATGAANGGGGGGGGTTCCTGAAGCCCAAAAAAAACCTCTGGATCCGCCACTGGTCAGTCAGTAATATACTTAATATAGCCCTAGACAAGTCTTTGAAACGGAGGATGTGGGATGGTTTAGCCCAATTTCATTTTCCAGACAAATCAAAATCATCGTCAGAGATACAGATAAAATTAAGCGTCCGACGTCAATCAACATGAATTTAAAAAGATGACAAAAGACTAATGACACACGTCATAGCAGTCAAGCAAACTAGGCTTGACAAATCTAACATTGAGTTGTTATTGTCCTCACAGCGTAGCGAGGATCGACACACAATGGGATTGACCGTCAACATATTGATTACAGTAGGTCGGAATTTGACCCCCAGAAAATGGGGTGCAGAACTTCATTCATAAAACACCACGGCAATTTGTAAACACTCGTTACACACACAACACACACACAGTTATGTGCACTGAACCCTAGACGAAATCATAGAGTTGTGTCCATTTGAGTAGAATTTTGACGGAAAACATTTAATATATTTTCAGATGTCTGACCAATTCATCTGTTCATGGTTTTGACTGGAAGACTTTGAATCCTACGAAGAGTACAGCGAGCACGAACATTTTCATTTCAATATTGATGATATGAATGGTACTCAAAGGGATTACTTGTGCTCTTTTTGTCCTTGAGGCCGCTTCATCGACTAGCCCACAACAACATTAGAGCAATAAGCCTTACGGAACAACCTGCACCAAAACGAGTAAAGATCTTTTTTCGAGCGTACTTTCGTCGACAGAGCGACCCAGTCAAGGGGTGTTATCACCTGTGGCAGGACCCAGTCATATTCAATCACCAGAACCTGCACCCAGTCATGCCTTCTCCCCCATGGATAGCAGAAGAAACTTTAAAATATGACATAAATAAAATTAAGGAAAGAACATTAAAAAATGCCGTCAAAGACAATCATTATAAGGTAGCATTCACTAACAATATAAGGGGAGGTAAGTTATCTGACATGTTTACTCATTTAGAGAAAATGTTTGATGATGTCATTGAGCAAGCTACAGACAGCCTCCAAAAAACTGACCGTGGAAGAATATTCATACATCACAATGCATTAAATAGTCCCATCGTGATTTCACTGCGAACTCTCGATAGGCTAAGTGGTCACAGTGTCATGGAAGAGGTCCACAAAGTTTTAAATAGTCATGAGGAGCTGCCCTTGAACGAAAGTCTCAGTGAAGATGTCGAAACATTGGAGATTCTTAAAGGGGGGGGGGGGGGGGGATACGTTGTATCGTCTGTGACAGGTTCTAACAGTTCTGTTCGAAATAAAAGATCTATCATAGAAATAACAAACACTGGTAATGCGTGCTTGTCAAGAGTCATCACCATGGCATTTTAAAGTGCAAATCAGGTCCCGACCTTGGATACAATCGATTCTGAAATACAAAAAATGTCCCGATTGGTATTTCATAAAAATTAAGAAACCCCATAACATGTAGAAATAAATTAGATTTGCTAAACTGTTACCTTCTACGCGATACCAGATTAATTGGGGCGAACAGATTGTTTTCCCTTAATGATATAAAAGTATTTGAAGATTCTTTTAACGTTGATGTTCTGGGCGTATCTGCATCCATGGGAAACAAATTTTACAAAATACCCAATGAAGGAAGTCAGAAACAGAGAATATATATATATATCTTGTACAAAACTCACATTTTCATGCCATTTCTAATATTCAGGGATTCTTCAAAGTTCTGCGACAATTGTCTCAAGACATATAAAACAAAGGCACGAATATTCGGGAAAGCTAACATGACGACGTGCTGGGCAAGACTTAAATCATACAATGTGTTGGAAATGCTCGGGGAACGTGTTCTCTAATACGACACATTCAGCGTGATTTTCGTTAGTAGAACATGTGACGTTGAACCCGACCCTCGATGACTATCTTGGGGAGTTAATTAGTGAACTCGACCATGACGATCACATTGTTCATTTTGTATCGGGCGGTCCAAAGCAGAATTCGTACAAAACATTTAAAGGAAATAGCTTTTGCAAAATAAGAGGTTTTACTCTTAATTATATCAATGCTAAAACGCTAACAAGTATGTTGAATTTAATTGAAGCACCGCGTAAAGAAGAAGTCAGCATTAGTGTAACAAATTCTCACAAAATAACCAGGCAAAAACGGAAGAGAAAAATACATTCATCTGTTGAAGAAATAAAATACAAAATAGTAGATACAAAACGATGCATCCAATGGGACACATTTGACACCTTACCTACCGTATGGTTGTCAAATCAGAGACGACGATTAAAAACAGAATATTAATAAAATATCTATATATTTCATGAAAGTTTTATAATGTTTTTCACTCATGTCAGGTTTTGTACCATCGTTATTAACTTTTTTGCCGTTGGATCGGTTTTGTTGAAACAAAACATTTCCATTTTGGTTTGATAGAAAAAAGAAAAAACCCGCCTATGAGACACGCGTGTAACGTTTTCTAAAATAGTCTTCTCTTTATTTTATATTAGCATCGTACCAAATATTATAGAGCTGTTTATGACCTGGTTTCTTTTTACAAGTTGTTTAATATTTTGTCCACGTAACATTGTTTGTGCAATCTATGAAACTATTTTTGTTCATGACTCGTTTTCGTTTCTGAAAAAAAATCGTAATTGATTCGTGAAAAATAAAAAAAATATTGAGAGGCATGGATCATTTTTTTTAAAAACCTTCTTTATTTCATAGCAGCATCGTATCCAAATTAATACTATAGTACATGTCTTGATTCGATTTTTCGACACATGGTTTTAATTTTTTCGTTAATGTGACGTTTTTTGTACAACTCAACGTAACGTTTTTAGTTCATGGACCCATTTTTTGTAAGAATTTGTAACAGTAAAGCCAGTAAATCCAGTAATTCAATGGTGTGCATGTCCTTTTATATGATATATATGTGAGTAAATCCAATGACCTTTTATAATAAATTAACAAATGACTACATTTATGTACATTTCAATTTCATACCATAACATTTATGCAATGTATAAAACCACGTGTACTTATTAAATTTCTATCCATTTGATGTCAGTCTTTTTAGTTTTCTTTGTCACTAATTCACCCGGTGGGGCACTGGTCGTGTGCCATTTAACTATGTACCCATTACCGCGTTGAATGGGGGAATAGGTATGATTTACGATCAGTGTTGACAATAAACGAAACGGGCGTGCAGTATGTAGCTCTCTCAGTCCACTGTAAAACTCTTGATATCCACGTGGCTTGTGTGATAACTCGACACAGACGGCGTCC